CCACTGCACTTCAGCTCTAGGCAACAGAGTGAGACCCTGCCACGAAAATAAAATAAAATAATATAATCAAGTGAAAAATGGGGCAAATCAGCAAACATGCTATTACTCCTCAAATAGATCTCTCCAAAATAATACCTCAGTTGAAATGAAGCTTTCTTTAAAAATCATCCTATCTAGTTGCTATGAAGATGCACTGTTTGGTCAAAATTTAAATTATAGGGCTTTACAAATGTACCATTCTAGTGCAGGATATTGATAGTGGGGGAGGCTATGTGTGTGGGGTCAGGGAATATTTGAGAACTCTGTGTTTTCCACTCAGTTTTGCTGTAAACTTAAAACTGCTCTAAAAAATAAAGTTTATTAATTGAAAAAGAAACACAGGCCAAGCAAATACTAGAACTGGTCAAAACATAATTCTAGAAATTTGAGTTGTTATTCAACAACAAGACCAAGGCAAGGGATGCATGTTCTTAGATGGGTGCAAATGTTAAAGATAAAGTAATTTTTTACCTTCTATTAGGACACTTTCAATTAAAATATAAGCTATGGATAATTCTTAATGTTAAGTAAAAAATAGCAGACCCATGATAGAGAATCAATCCTGAAATACATTCTAGAATAGCTCAAAAAATATTTTAAAATGTAAGTAATTAAAACTGTTTAAAGTTAATTTAAAAAACATGAACGTGAGTTTTGGCAGTAAAGATAAAAGATTTCTCTGTTACTAATAGTAGAAAAGAATAAATGTCATTAACACACCGATACATTCATGTGGCTTAATGATATATACTCCTTAATGATAAAGGGAGATGGAAAGAAAAAAAGCAAATAAAGGAAGTTCTACTTGGCTGCTTTCATGAGAAAACTTTACTCACTCTTTTCCTTCTTTTACCCAGATAAAATAGAAAGAGGAGAAAAAAGAAGAGAGGGAATAAATAAAGACAAATAAATAAAAGAAGAAGGGAATAGACCCAACAGAAAAAAGGGCCAATTGTTTCCTTCTTTCCCAGAACTAGGGAGACAAAGAAAGATGCAAAGAGAGAGAGAGAGAAAGAGAAAAAAAATATTCCTTAAAGTTCATGTTTCTTGTCCCGTCTCCTTTGCCAACCCTCATCACCACTGACTTAAGAATGTATATTCCTTGTTTCTACAGTAAGATAGACACAGTCAAGGGTTTGGGAAAAAATCTCTCTCCTGTGAAGGTTGGTGTGGTGAGGAGATGGTGGAGATATGGGTGGGATTGGAAACACATTTAGAGTTCCATCAAATATAGAAACTCACACAGCCATAAACAGAACTTCCATTCTACACTACTATGATTCAGAAATATGGGATAAAAAGGCTATCATGGGTCACCCTGGAATCTACAGGCCCATTAACATTGTTTCTAAAAAAATGCATAAATAAATTAAATTTTGTTATATTAATAGTTTATACATAAATACAATAAATATAGTTTATATACAAATAAAATTAAATTGAAAAACCTATTTATAGCTTGAGAACTGTCTATATATTTAAGAACTACAGTGAAGATACCTATTTTTCCCACAAGAAGCCAGTGCTAGCTAGAAAGCCTAGGACAATAATGTGTTCAAGTAGGAAGCAGAATCATGAGGATGGAAAATAGAAACATTTTTAATTCAGCAGAACATGGTAACTCAATGAAAAGTACTACTCTAGAAAGGAAAGCCAAGACTACCCTAAAAAAGGAGAAGGCAACCTACCTGTAGAAGCAAATAAGAAGGACTTTAGAATAGGAATGGTTTAGAGTCCACTGGATAAAGGGAATTCACACTACAGAAGAGTGACGAACAAGGCTACACCGTATTCTGTATCTGCTCCATACATGTAACTTGCTTTTCATAGTTCATTCTCTTTTATATCCTCATCTGTGACTTTTTTATTATCATAAACAGGATTTGCCCAAGTGTTAGAGCTGGGAAGGGGGATAGGTGGTAAGAAGGCTACTTTAATGAGGCTGCAGCCCTAAGACACAGTGCCAAACCCTTAAATGGCAGCCAAGTTGGGACCTGGAAGATATGTAGGAATCTAATACATATAATATATTCAAGTAGCCTTTTCTCTTGTTTTGGTAAATTTTTCCTGTAAAATATTTCTGGAAAAATGGCTTCCATTTTATTGTAGGGTACATATCTCCTTCTGTTAAATGTGTGCCTAGACACACACGCGTACCCTCTCACACACCCACATGCACAAATACAAGGGAGCATCACATCTCACATTTTTAACTGTAGGACCTACATTTTTTTCTCCTAATTCCCAATGTATCTACCTATCAATAAATAGGGAAGGAAACGTGGAAAAGAAATGAAAATTTGGCCGGGCGCGGTGGCTCACGCCTGTAATCCTAGCACTCTGGGAGGCAGAGGCGGGAGGATCGCTCAAGGTCAGGAGTTCGAGACCAGCCTGACCAACAGTGAGACCCCGTCTCTACTAAAAAATAGAAAGAAAT